AGAGAATGTTGCTTATTCCGACCGAGTACATCAGACAGGCATGAAGGCCCATCCCATTCCGGGTGTGTACTGCTCGAGAAAAGAAAGAGTGCCTTTGCTGACTGCGTAATCGTGTGCTTTGCTGTAGCCTGTCATCCACATCCTGTACTTCTCCAGCCAGAAGACAGCTGTTAAAAGCTCCCCGGAAATCAGCAGAAGCTGACAGTTTGCTTAGAAGCTTTTCCTGTTTTCGCTCTCAGGCTGCAGCATTAATGTCTTTAGCAAAGTCTGAAGTGCGGTGAGAATTTTCTCTCATTCGTGGATGAACTTGTCCACATCCATCCGATCTGTTGAAATCCCTGTGAGCAAATGACTTTGGCGGTTACTTGGCTGGCCTGCACCTTTTGTGCTTGCATCCTGTGCGACTCGGCAGCTGTTTGCCTGGAATTGATCCCTAGGTTTGCTCACGGTCACCCCGCAGGTAGTAGGTCTTCACGGACTTTAGTAGATGCACAGCTATATCTAGGAAATCTTGTTTGGCCACTTTGTGTTTCAGCAGAAGACAGCGAGGCTCGTGGAGTGACAGCGGGTGATGTATCTCCGCGGTCAGGTCGGAATTGTGTTTTCTGTGTATACCTTATCCGATATTGGTATGCTGCACAAGGCTCCGTGCGACCCTGTGATCCGCGGGAGAGAGAGGGTGGTTTTCATTTTCAGGAAAGAGAAATCAGAAAATGTCAAGCGCTGATGAAGGGCTTGCCCTTTGTACGGTCGGCGGGTTTACCTGGGGAAGGTTGATGAGCTTTGCGACAGGGATCCAACTGCTTCTCAAGGATCCTGGTTCACTCCTGGTTTGTTTTGCAGATAAGATAGAAGCTGCTTGAATCTGTCAGGAAAAAAGTTCTGTCTGAGCAGACAGACAGCTTAGCAAGCATGAACCGATGAATAACGGTAGGGAATAAACGGCTGTTAATGTAGCCGCAGGGACAGTGCTGGCAGGTTCTTATATATTTTTTTTTGCTGTATGCTTTCCATGCTTTGATGGGCGTGACATAAAGAATAAAATGGTTTAGGGCTTTTTCACTCCCACGGAGAACTGTGGTTTTACATGGACAGGCTGTCGTTTCACTCTTTAGACAGGTAGGATGAGGCAGAGCGAAACCTTTCTCTTAGGCCGTGATCTGCTAAGACAGATGAGTTCTATGGTCTGGATGATCTACAGGAAAAAGGCGCCCCAAAAAAGTCGGACTGTGGAGAAATGACAGAATGCTGTATGAAACTGAGCTGGCTGTAGGTAAGAACGTGGAGTTCTTGGTTTAAGTCATTAACTTAACCTAACCTAACCGGCTCCAATGAATATCACCCGTCGTCCAAGCTCTTGTCAAGTATAATTTTAAGATGCAGATGAATAACCAAGTGTATAGTGGTGACTGTCTGGCTTAACATGCATGAATAATAATAACAATTGATACTTTATTGATCCCCATGGGGAAATTCGCTTTTTACGCCTCCCTCAACTTGCTCTTTGTAGCGTAAGTTGTCTGCAAAGGGCAGCCACCTGTAGCGGCGCCCAAGGAGCTGGGGGTTAAGGGTCTTGCTCAAGGACCTGCAGACGTGCTGAGGCTGGGTTTGAACCGGCAACCTTCTGATTACAGGCACACAGGCTTAGCCCACTGAGCCACACACTGCCCCAATGAACAAGTGGTGAATAAATAAATGAATTTGAATGGACTTAAGAAACTATGATCTAAAATATTTTGCCTCAAGTATCTTAATGCATTTTGTATGCTCAGCTGTTACCCAAATGAGTCCAATTACCGAAAATTTCACTATACATCTGCACTAAAAATTGTACTGTGTATATTTATAAATAATTTGTGACATAATAGTCTGTACATTTTGTTTTGGTTTCTCTTTATGTGGAATTACTATCACATTTTTAGGTATTCACCATCATTGTCCAGATATTAATGTCAGGCAGTGACGATAGCTGTCATGATATCGATATGACAGGTCTGCTCTTTAGCGGCCCGTGTGGAAGCAGCCCTCACAGCCAGCTGACATGGGACGTGACTTCACAGATTTAATGCCTTAAACAGGAAGTAGCCATATTGAGTTTTTATTTCTTGAATCCATGCCCTTAAAAGGTGTGATATCATTTTAATGAACAATGTATTGATGCAGGGAGCTTCACTGGCCTCACTGGCAGGGATGCGGGTCCAGTGCCATCCCGACTCTGTGCGTGTGGCGTGCCTGTCCTCTCACCTACAGGGCACTGGAGAAACCACCCAGCCCGCCAGCCCACGATAATGAGTCATGATGCCTGATTAACACTCACGGCGATATTAGAGCAAAGCAGCAGAGAGGCTAATGCCCTTGAATGTGGATTGAATGTTGGTTTTTGTCTTTATGCAGCAGTTTTAGTGTAATGCTGGTGTTTTATATTTTTTCTGGCTAAATATCAACGAAACATAAAGTGTTTCCAGAGAGCAAAGTGAAAAAATTCTCCTTTGGTGTTAAAAGGGAGATCTAAAAAAGCCCTGTTTGGGGGCCGGGAGGTAGGGCAGATCCCCCCCGCTGCTCCGCCGGTGGTGAGCCCTGTTTGGGGGCCGGGAGGTAAGGCAGATCCCCCCCACTGTTCTGCCCACAGGCACTGTTAAGTTGCTACCATCCCATCATTATGAGCCATGTAGCTGTTTGCTGCATTTGCAGAAGTCTGTTTGCTCTCCACCCAAAACAAGGGGATCAAGGTCAGGAGAAGCACATAATTCCCAGCAGGCCTTACCAAACCCCCCCCACATCTCCCGAAGGCTTCGCAGAGAATCGTCCAGAACACGCAGTTTGCAAAATACGCTAAATTAGCCTCAGCATACCGACAAGCATGGCTGCGTTGTTATGGACATAGTGATGTTTTCCGTTTCATATACTGAAATAAACACAATTTGGGTGAAATTACACGCAGGCAAGCAGCCCCTGCAGTTGTTTAATTAAAATAAAAGATAAATAAATCTCCGTAATCCCACTAAGCCGTCTCTGTCCTCATATATGGAAGCACTTTCTGATTCATAAAGCAAGAGGGAGCAAATAGCCCAATCGCAGGGGGGACACAATAGCTGAAAATGGCGAGACGCGGGCCGGTCTGACGGCAGCGGGTGCCAGATAATTACTGAGGCGGTTTCTGGGCTTCCCAGATAAGCCCGCACCCCCCAGTGGGGCTCTAAAGTTTGTTTTGTGTCCTCAGTGCTGTACCACAGTCGGGATTATACTGTCACATGCAGATGGTTGAAGACATCAGGACAGGCGCTCTGGTTGCTCTGGGATCGGCTGTGTATTTCCAAAGAGAAGCATCTTGCAGATGCTGTGTATTTCAGGCTTCATTATGTTTAATGTTTAATGGGGGGGAGTGGGGGGGGTTTGGTCCCTATCTCCTCTCCAAGAAGAAGCTGTGTGTCATTGACAAGGGAAGGTCAATATGGAGTTCAGGCTCTGCATCAAGTGACCAGGTGGTCCTCTTTTTTGCAAGCCGTTCCCGTGGTAGATAGTTGGACAGGGTTGCGCAGGTTATTTTTGCCTGCTGTAGCCTTAGCTGGCTAAGAAAGACAATTCTCATCAGTGTCGACCACCCCCTTAAGGATGCCCCTCATTACCATCCACCACCCCCTTAAGGATGCCCCTCATTACCATCCACTGCCCCATTAAGGATGCCCCTCATTACCGTCCACCACCCCCTTAAGGATGCCCCTCATTACCATCCACTGCCCCATTAAGGATGCCCCTCATTACCATCCACTGCCGCATTAAGGATGCCCCTCATTACCGTCCACTACCCCATTAAGGATACCCCTCATTACCGTCCACCGCCGCCTTAAGGATGCCCCTCATTATGGTTTACTGTCCCCTTAAGGATGCCCCTCCTTACCGTCCACTACCCCATTAAGGATACCCCTCATTACCGTCCACCGCCGCCTTAAGGATGCCCCTCATTATGGTTTACTGTCCCCTTAAGGACTGCCTCCTGATCACCTGCGGCTGCCTGCCCTTCTGTTTTAAATGCTTCGCCTTGACCTTTCGGATGCAGTGCATGCATGCGTTTGGGTGGCAGAGCTCTTCTCACATGCTGCTTAATGCAGACCAACGCTTTATTCCCATGAGCCGCCGTCTTCAGGCCAAAAATTCAGGAGGACATGCATCGGACAGCAGTCGCCTGATTCGGAAATTAATATGGATAAATGGGAAAGGGGCTCTTTGTATTCAGGGAAACTGCCAGTATCCGGTGACGTGCTAAATCATTAGTTTGCCTTTGGGAGTGGATCTCCGGAATTATGGATTTTCCGGATGCACTGGGAAAATCGCTCGCAAGGAGGTCAGAAAAAAAGACAGACACAAAGCCTCATTTCGGGTGATTTTTATTCTTGGGATAATTAGGGGAGGAAAAGCTGGTTAGTCTTATATGTTTTTGACAAGAGTCTTTATCCAACCCATTGATGCATGCAGACATAAATAACTAATCTAATTGTGTTCATTGATGGAGTACAGAGACATGCCAGTGAACTGCATTTCTTGTAATACTTGGAATGCAGCATCATTTAGTGAGCTCTCTTGTAAATAATAGGATCATCAACTCCGTCGGTATTTTGTTTTAGAAGCAAATATTCATCGGAACATTCATTCTTTATTCAAAGCTTAATGGTTTGTTGTCTGTCTAAACTATGCGATAAAAATAAGGACTCTGCTCTGGGAGCACTGTGGGGCCCGCTTTTTCGCAGTGCTCGCTCTTTTCATAGTACTCTTTTCGCAGTGCTCGTTCATTTCGCAGTGCTCGCTCTTTTCGCAGTGCTTGCTGTGACGCTGACCAGCGTCGGGCTGCCTTTGCAGAAGAAGGCCAGACCTTCTGCGCTCGTGGCCGCTGAGATCTGGCCTGATCGTGTCGCTGCCAGCTAGCCAGTAAAGCGCGTCACTGCACACCAAAGCATTGCTGCCCAGCACGGGGTGACGTTGTCACGTGTCTTTTGGTGCGGCAGGGAGTTACTGGAACGCGGCGGCCTTCACCACCCCCTCGTCCTACCTGCACTTCTCCACCTTCCAAGGCGAGACCAGCGCCGACATCTCCTTCTACTTCAAGACTTCCTCGCCGTATGGTGTCTTCCTGGAGAACCTGGGAAACACCGACTTTATCCGTTTGGAGCTGAAGTGTGAGTATCTACCCCTCCAGATGTTACTGCCTCTGATCCCCAGCTGTGCTGCTCTTTCTGCTCTGTCTGGCTGACTATCAATCATTTATTGACTTTCTTTTAAGTAAATACAAAAAAATGCTACAAAAATTATCTTAACAATTATCTAAATGAAAGGATTATTGCCTTAAGGCTATAATGCTAAATGATAATTATTAATAATCAATATGTAAATGACTGAGTTATTAATTGTTCTGGGGGTGGAAGGTCTGCTCACAGTGCAGGGCTGGGGGTTAAATGCAGCCCCTGGTCACGGGGGGGGGGGGGGGGTCTATGCGTGTGTATATGTTTGTATATCTGTGTGGGTCATCTTATTTGTGTCCTATGCTTGATGGATGGATGGATGGATGGATGAGTAAGTAGGTTTGTGCAGGTTCATTGTCCAGTAAAATAAGGTCATATGCATTAGTTCTTCTTCCCCTGCATAGACTCTGCATGGCTGCTTATGTGTATGAGCCGTATCAGCGGTGACATTGATAGTACTTGTTTCGTAATTCTTGGCTCCGCCTGAAGGGCTTGGCAGAGCCCAGCTTCAGCTAGCGCCAGCGTCCCGTTAGGTGACCCGGAACATGAGGAGCTACAGGCCAGATCCATTACCGTGGTGTTCTAGCGATGGCCGCACAGAGACGCGCAGGCTTATGGTGGCGGGGGCCCCCGTGGCGTGGGGGGGTGGCAGTATCGCTCCGAAACAGGCCTAATGTGGCTCTGCTCAACCTCGCATCCAGCGCGTGACATAATCCCGCAGCGGGGGCCCGCCAGCGATTCTCCCGCATCCTCAGGGCCCCCCGCCGTGAACAAACACGCCAGGACTGCTGTTTCCGTGCTTATCGTCTGCTTAATGTGCATTCTGTGTGGCTAAGTGGACTTACGCAGGCTGGCCGTTCATGGGTAACGTACCACGTGAGTTTCCTGGGTCAGTCTCAGGCAGTGCCGCCCCCGGGGGGGGGGAGGGGGTCCTAACAGCCCTTCTCTCTGTAATCCCGCTCCGTCGTTCCAGATGCAGGGGTTGGGGGGGATCGTATCAGTTCCAGTTCCATCTGTCACAGACACGCCCCCGTTCCCACCGGGGCCCTGGGAGAGTCGCCCTCCCGCCCCACTGCACATTGGCAAGCGTTTGTCAGTCCACCTCAAGGAAAAAAATAAGCCTCTTTTTCACTTTAATGGTGCACTGGCAGGCGGGCGGGGGGCATGTCACATTGTAGAAGCCCGAGCGGGACAGGCAGACCTCGTGTTGAGATGGAGAGGGGGCAGCCAGCTGGGACAGTGAGCCGCCCAGTGCACAGGCAGTACGTGTAACCGCAGAAAGCTATATCTGCGTGCAGGCAGTATGTGTTACCACACTAAACTGCATCAACAAGCCACACCGCACACAGGTGGTATGTGTTACCATGGTAAACTGCATCGGTCAGCCGCACTGCGCACAGGTATTATGTGTTACCGTGGTAAACAGAATCCACAAGGTGCACTGCATACAGGCAGTACATGTTACTGTGGTAAATTGCATCGGTGAGCCGCACTGCGCACGGGTGGTACGTGGTACCACTGTAAACTGAATCTGTGAGCCTCACTCTGTGCAGGTGGTATGTTACTGTGGTAGACTATATCCACGAGCCTCACCTTAACCACATGCCGGCCTTGGGGGCTGTTCTGCTACAGAAATGCTTGAGGGGGCCTGTGTGTGAGCATCTCTGTCCCTCTGAGTCCTCAGTGCTCCCCAGAGAATCAGGGCTCAGCGCTGAGGTGGTCAGAGATGAGCCCCCGGACTGTCTCTGGCCCTCCTGCCGCCTGCCACACCTGCCCTGGGTACAGACACGGATCTGCCTCTTTCCCCCCTCTGTCTCTGGCCCTCCTGCCGCCTGCCTCGCCTGCCCTGGGTACAGACACGGATCTGCCTCTTTCCCCCCTCTGTCTCTGGACCTGCAGTTAACATTTTAACTAAGGTGTTTCGCATTGTAGGAAGATAAATGGCGTACAAAAGTGAGCATCTCGCTCCTCCCTCCCCCTCCCTCTCTTTCTCTGCCTTTTATTGACTAGATGCCAAGAAGGTTTTAATAGACGGCATGCGATTTTAATAGTGCATTAAGACGGCTTTTGGCTCTTAATGCGATCCTTTTATTCCTACTGCTGGTTCGGATGGGCACCACTCTGGAACGTACTGATGGACTCTCACCTTCATGGTGAGACCTGCACAGCTGGAGTGTGCCCTCCGAGCCGTCAGAGCCCCGCGGCGAAAAGCCGACTGTGATCCGCGGCTTCCGGCTATCAACTATCGCCAGCTTCCCGACTGCTGAAAGACGTGTTGGCGCCCTCTGCTGGCGGTAGAGGTATGGCAGTGCTGCCGCGTGATGGACACCCCCCCCACCCCCGCTGCCGTACCAAACCCCGTCCGGGGAGTGTCCCATCCCAGGGTGGACCTCATTACAGGCACATCAAGGTGCCTTTGAATATTCATGGCATTTTCAAAAGCGTGACTGAGCTTCAGATTTTGGATGAGAAATGATTTATTAAGATCCATATTTCATGTTTTATACACCCGACCCGCCTGCCCCCAGGGGTCCATGACTCTTGAGGGGAAATGTGATTTAATCTGGAGTGAGCTGTTTTCTCCAGCACTCTTTGCTTTTCTTATTTGGAGTCGCTCCAGATCGTGCCCAGATTTTAATTTCTCCTGACGTCGGAGTCTGTCTCAGGCTCTCCTGTGTCTGGACGCAGCCGGCCTTTCCGACATCATCAAAATGCGGATTGCAGCATGTTTATAACGTGACACTGGGCATAGAGCTCCCTGTGACTGTGATCAGTAATGAAAGACCCTCATCTCCGGCTGTCAGTAAACATGCCAGAGGGATGATGAACATATCGGCTTGTTTTATAAGTGTTTATTCTGTTTTTCCTCAATATATACAAGCATACATCCCTGTGAATCCACAAGCTTCTCACTCCTGTGC